TCTGAGAGACTTTAATGGATACAACCCCCTCTGGGGTGGTGCTGATATTGATGTGAGAGGTTGTTCCATAGAGCATATGCTCCCAGATCACAAATTTTCTCTCTTCAATACTGGAACATATAGCTATTTTCATGCACCTAGTCAGTCTTTTGCTGCCATTGATCTCTCGATTTGCTCCCCTTCACTTTTCACTCGCTTTTCTTGAATGGTTGACAGTGATCCACGGGGCAGTGATCATTTTCCTATCATTTTGATGGAGGTTGGCTATGGTCGATGCCACCCGACCAGAGTGCCATGGTGGAAGCTGGACCAGGCTGACTGGCCATCTTTCACCTCTCTCTCTGAACTTGAGCCTGCCTTCATCTGTCTGCCATCAATAGACGACTGAGTGGTTGCAGTGACTGACTGTATTGTCCAGGCAGCTGTTCATTCTATTCCTAAGACCTCGACACGTTTTTCACAGTATCCTCGTCCTTGGTGGAGTCGTGCCTGCCAGGAGGCATGGAAGGCTCAAAAACGAGCTTAGGATACCTTCCGTCAGTATCCCTCTGTTTCTAATCACATTTGTTATCAGCGGGCCTGTGCCCATGCTCGGCAAGTTTGACGTCAAAGCCAAAAGGAGTCTTGGATTAAGTTCACTACTAGCATCTCTTCCTACTACCAGTTCCAAAACTGTATGGGACAAGATCCGGAAATTACTGGGAGGTATGCTTCCCATTCCCTTTCCATCTTGCTCTCCAATGACCAGAAAGTTGCTGATGTCCAGATCATTGCTGATGCTCTCGGCCAAAGCTTTTCTCAAGCTTTTAGCACTTCTGTTTCTTCCCCTGCCTTCTTGGCCATAAAGTCTCGGGCAGAGTGATCACCTCTTTCCTTTCGGGTCGATCATCTCTATGATTATAATCGCTCCTTTACACTGGTGGAACTCAAACTTGATCTTCATTGGTCTGGTAGTTCATCGGTTGGACCTGATAATGTTCATTATGAGATGTTGCACCATCTTTTTCCTGCCTCTGTTGTTATTCTTCTGGTTATTTTTAACCGGATCTGGTAGGAGCATAATTTTCCTGATGCTTTGCGCCTCCCTTTCTCTTAACCTGGGAAGGATCCCAAGAGTCCTTCTAATTATCGTCCCATCGCTTTGACTAGTTGTTTTTGTAAGGTCCTAGAGATGATGGTTAATGCTCGTCTTGTTTGGTTCCTGGAATCGAACATGCTTCTCTCACCCACCCAGTGTGGATTCCGTCGACAGTGCTCCACCATGGACCATTTGATTCGACTTGAAACGTCGATAAGGAAAGCCTTTCTCAAGAGAGAACACCTTATTTCTGTGTTCTTCGATCTCGAGAAGGCTTATGACACTACGTGGAGGTATGGAATTTTGCAGGACCTCCAGTCCTATGGGTTGAGTGCCCATTTACCCATTTTTTATTCAAAACTTTCTACTGATCAGGCGATTCTAAGTCCGTGTGGGTTCCTCAGGGCTGTGTCTTGAGTGGCACACTTTTTAGTGTTAAGATTAATGCTATCACTAATAATCTTCCTCCAACTGTTGCTAATGGGCTTTGTATCGACGACTTCCACATCTCATGTCAGTCATCGAACATGAGGTTTATTGGGCGGCAGCTTCACACTGCCCTCAATCAGTTTTTGACATGGATCACTGCAAACAGTTTTAAATTTTCTTTTTCCAAAACCGTTTGCATGCATTTTTGCCGCCAACGTGGAGCTCCACCCTGATCTTGAGCTCCATCTCGGTGATATAGTTATTCGTGTGGTCCCCGAGGCAAAGTTCTTGGGGCTTATCTTTGACTGTAAGCTTAGCTTCATTCCACACAGCTACGTGTCAAGTGTGCAAGGGCTCTGAACATTCTCCGTGTCCTCTCTTCCAGCTTTTGGGGAGTGGATCGATGTTCTATGCTCTGGATCTATCGTGCCCTGATTCAATCCAAACTGGACTATGGATCTGTGGTCTATGGTTCTGCCAGGATCTTGGCCCTGAAGATGCTGGACCCCATTCACC